AAGACGTGAAAAATAGAAAACATGGGAAGCTGAGGAAAGAGTCTCACAAATCGAGCCCACTCTGGGCCTCTATGTTGTCTGCAGGGGACACTTTAGGTTCAAAAGTACACAGCCACGAAAGGATGGAACAGGAGCAGCTGCAGAGGGGCTGAAGCAACACACTCACGTAAGCAAAGAGACCTTGGAGCAGAGGCATTGCTAGAAACTGTGGCGGTTTGGATGCTGAGTGTTCCCCAGAGGCATGGTCCCGGGGTTGCTACATAAATGGTGGGGCCTGGAGAGTAGGGGCCTGGTCCTTGGGACTGTGCCCTAGAAGAGGACCTTGGACCTCAGCTCCTTCCTCCTCCTCTCTTTCACTCTACCATGTGCTTCTGCCTCATCACAGATTCAGAGCAATGGGGCCACTTGATCTTGAACTGGAACCTCTGAAACACAGCCAGAATAACCCTTATCTCTGTGTAAGTTAATAATCTCAGATAGATTTTTACAGTGACAGGAAGATGGTAAACACAGATCAAGAGTGACCTTTCATAAAAATGAAAGGGCCAATGAATGAATATAAAGATTATAATCCCAGGTACGCCTCACAGAGGAAAACTTAGCAGAATTAAAGGAGAAATAGAGAGTTACACAGTTGAGTGGGGACTTCAACACCCTACTTTCAGTGACTGAACAACTAGACAGAACAATAATGTGGAAGACTGGACACCAGTATAAACCACCTACTCTTCCCAGAGACCCATGGGACACCCACCTAGCAGCAGCAGAATGTGGAATGTTCTTCTCAAGTTCCTGTAGCAAATTTTCTAGCATAGACCATAGGCTAGGCTGCAAAGCAAAAGCAGACTGTCTGGGCTCACGGGCCTCTATGAATCACCATGACAGCCAGGCAAGCAGGTAGGAAAGGGGAGGCAAAGACTGGTTAGAGTGGCAAGGACCCTGGGCAGGAGGAGGGTGAAAAGTTGGAGGAAAAGTTGCTGGGGTATGTCCAGCAAGCATTTGGTGGCAGACTACAAGGAGGTGAGGCAAGATAACTCTGAACTCTCAGCAGTGGGTCAGAGTGGTTAGGGAGGGTTTGGATGAAGAGGGTCCTGTGCGGTCATTTTAGGCACAGAATGCAGAGGGTAAAGAACATCAGGTGCAAGACTGAACACTTCGGCCTTGATCCTTATGCCCTGGGCACATGCCCAGGGGAGGGAGGTTGATTCATTATAATCAATTGAATTCTTCCACCTTGTGTTAGCTTTCCATTGTTGAGACAAAATACCCGAGATAAATCAAGTTAAAGCATAAAAATTTATTTGGCTCATGGTTTTAGATGTTTCAGTCCATGGTCAGTTGGCTCCATTGCCTTTGGGCCTGCAGCAAGGCAGAACATCACAGTGGGGAGTACATGGGTGAAGCAAAGCTGGTCATTTCATGGTGACTGGAAAGCAAAGAAGAGAGAAGGAGCAGGGGCCCAATATCCTCTCTAGGGCATGCCCCCAGTGACCTACCTTCCTTCCACCAGGCCCTACCTCCTAGACTTTTCACTGCCTCCCAGGAGTGTTCCACACTGCTGACCAAGATTTTAACATATGGAGGATTCAAGATACAAACCAATGAAGAACATTCTGCACCATTCAGAGATGAAGGGTAATTAAAGAGGTATTTCACAAGTGTAAGATTGCTCAGCCCCAAATTTATGGCTCTCCAAATATACCCCAAGGTGAAAGAAAAGTCTGCAAGTACTGACACAGGTGCACACCAAAGGAAGCCCCTTCCTCAACTCCAACCACTGTGAGGCTTGCACTAGCTTTAACACACATTTAGCAAAGGTAAAGCAAGTAATTTGGCTGGGCATATGGCTTAAGGGTAGAGCCTGGCCTTGGGTTCCATCCCCAGCAAAACACACACGCGCGCGCGCGCGCACACACACACACACACACACACACGGAATAAATAACCTTTTCTATCATTCGAGTTTGTTAATTTCATCCTACCATACCAGGCCAGCTTTCTGGCATCCTCTCAGCCTTGGGTCCCTTCCCCGTGGGTTAGAAGGTGCTGTCCAGAGGCAAGGAGGGGAACCTATACATGCCATTGTAGGAGCCGAGTAAGAGGTGCGAAGGTAGCTGAAATGGGAGTTATTACGGTGAGCACTACTGTGGCTTAGATTGTAGACACAGAAGAGCAGGTGTGGGACACCTGTAACCACAGATATTTGATGTGATTTTCACAAGCAAGAAGCATCTGGGTGTTGGGTTCAGCGGAGGGGCCCACCAGGTCCCAGTGTGCCTGGCCGCAGAGCAGCCCAAGGGAGGCACAGGTGGGGCCAAGGACCCCTAAGCGGGTTGGGGCAGGAGGGTGACCCTCAGGCCTTGGCCCCTCGGGCTGGGCCCTCAGGTGCTTCGGGCTGCGCTGGAAACGCCCTTCCCAGGCGTCTCCATAGCAGTGGTGTTTTCACACGAGGTTTACTCTAGTCTGCTCCTGGAAGAGATTTGGTACCCAAAGGCACTTTTAAAATGCTGAGCTTGGGGCGGGGCGGGGGGGCAGTATTTGCCCCAATAATCCACAGAAACAACAGTAATCTAAAAATAGTCTTGTTTTCTGTCCTAGGCTCTTTTTAACTTTGTTAGTCATCACCAATTCTTAAAATAAAATCCGTGTAACGTCTCTCCTAGTAGCAGCTATAAACAAACCTCGAGAGGAGGCCTGAGGAAGAGGAAAAGAGGCGCGAGGGACTCGCGGGGAGCGCGGCCGGCCGGCGGGAGTGAAGCTGGTGGCCTAAGGGCCGGGCGCTCCGGGCGCCACCGCCTCGGAACTCCCTGCGCCCTGGCGCCCGGCCACCGTGGGCCTGGCAACGGCATTAAACAGAGGGAAACAGGCCCGGGATTCCGTCACCCGCGGGGGATCAGGAGGGCATTGAGACAGACAGGAAAGAGCTTTCTGGATGGGGCGAAAAGTTACTTATTGGAGGGGGAGTAAAGAGGGAAGGAGCCGTCGGAGAGGGGAGGAGCAGGAGCGGGCGGAGGAGGGACGGGGGGGGGCAGGAAGAGGAGGAAGGGGAAGGAAGAGGCTATGGGTGCCCCCCCTCCCCGCTGCGGCCCTTCCTAGGCGGCTTTCCTGGGGGCTGGGCCGGCCGGCCGGCCGCGCGGAGTGGACGCCGCAGGGAGGACCCGCCGGGCGGCCCCCGACCTGACTCCCCGGATCTCCGCCCTTCGGAGACCCGGTCCTCGCCGAGCCGCGCTGCCTCAGTCCCGCCCGCCGGGACCTGGAGGGCAGAAGAGGGCGGGGACGGAAACTCTCCCGGCAAAGTCTGGGCAGGGTGGGCGGGACGGAAACTCCAGGCCGAATCCTGGCACCCAGGACCGGGACACCAGGACTTACTGAGGAAGGAGGATTTTGGAAGAGCAGAGAGGGAGGGAGGCGGCAGCGTGACCCCGCCCCCCCGCAGCGCCGGCCTCGCTCACTCTGGAGCCCGAGGTGTGGGCATCCTCGCGGGTCCCCTCCGCTACTCAGCCCTGGAGATCCCCCTGGTCCTCTCCGCGCCTAATGAGTAATTTAGCGGACAGTGTGGACCCTCCTCCCCGGGCGCCCGGCTCCAAGGGCGGGAGCGGGTCCACAGGTGGCCACGCCAGACCCGGGGTCCTCCCGCCCCGCACCCCCGGGCGGTGGTGCCCTGGGCCGAGCCCTGCAGTGGAAAGACTTGAGTTCTGCAGAGCTGCAGCTGCGGAAAGGGCCCGGTAGGTGAGAGTGTATTGGACAGATTTTCTTTGCTCACCTTTCTGTTCTTTAAAGTCGACCCAGTTGGCCAGCGCCACTCACTGGTTGGATCAAATATTGATCCGAGTCACCCCTACCCCATTCCCTTGAGTCCTCTGGAAGCACCCACCCGCCCAGTAATATCACCCCCCGCCCCGCGTCCCGACGCTTTCCGGCCCCACGGCACACACCCCTTTTGCTGTTGGGTTTATTTAAAACCACATAAGCTTTCGTGAGTAGATTTATGATTTCTGTACACCAGACATTCTAATCACCCCGACATCCCAACTCTTCCATCCAAAGCCAACGAGAAAATACGGTCCGTTTTGGCAGCTGAACTGCGCCCGGGGAGATGGCGGGGGGATTTTAAAGAGGAAAGTGTAAAGTGACACGGGAAAGCGTCCAAAAAGGCCGCACATTGGCCCTGCCCACCGTCGGAAACCCCAGGGTCGCCCGCAGACGCTCCTAATCCCCCGGGCACGCGAGACGGAGGAGGGGCCCGCAGGTGGCCGCGCTCTCCTCAACTCCAGGCCCAGCTCCTGCAACCAACGAGCTGGGTCGCGCCGATATTTACAGAATAAAAATGACGATATCTGGCCAACCCGGGATGGCCAAACAATCTGTTAGTAATTTAGCGGGATGGGAATTTCCTTTCTCGGGCCTGCCAGTGGAAGCGCTTTTCCAAATTTCCATAGCGGGGGAAGCCTGCGATTTTACATAATGACTTCAGCATGCAGGCCTTTCTCTGCACCCCTCCGCCGCCGTCCACACCCCAACCTCCTCATTAAGGCGCAGTGTGGATCTCTGCGTACACCCGCGTGGACCCAGGCGTCGGGTCTGGCCCGACTACCCCTCGCGCGCCCCTTCCCTCTGGCCATTTCGCCCGCCAGCCGGGAGTCCCCACCCGCGCCTCTTGAGCCAGTTTTCCCCCTGGTGCACCTCTGCCCGCCTTTCGTGGCCTTGCAACCAGTCTTGTGCGCCTCTGTCCGCCCCTGGGTGCCCCTGAGTACCCGGGTGCCCCGCCGGCTCGGCGAGCGGCGGCTGCGGCGCGGAGAGGGAGGCGTTCAGCGCCTCGTCTCCCGGGCCCAAGCCGGCTCAGGCGGGCAGGGGCGTGATGTCACGGCAGGGAGGGGGCGCGGAGCGCTGGGCCGGCGGGGAGGCGGGGGAGGTGTTTTCCAGCTTTAAAAAGGCAGGCGGCAGAGCACGGCCCTGCGTCAGAGCGAGACTTAGAGGCTCCGAACTCGCCGGCGGGGTCGCCGAGCCGGATCCAAGCGGCCGGGCGCGAGCTCCGGGTGCGGCGCATACTTCGGCCCCGCCGCGCGCGGATCCCGGACCGAACCCGGGCCTGCCACGCGCGCACGCCCCCTGATGACATCTCCCCGCGGCGCGCGGCGCTGAGCCCGGCCGGGCGCGTGTCCGCTGGGGAGAGGTCCGGTTCCCGGAGCCCAGCCTGGGCGCCCCGCCGCCCGTGGCCGCTCCTCCTCCCTCTGGGAGCCGCCGCCGCCGCGTGGATGCCAAGTACCAGCTTTCCAGTTCCTTCCAAGTTTCCACTCGGCCCTCTGGCCGCGGTCTGCGGGAGCGGAGAAACTTTGGGGCCCACGCCGCCCGCCGGCGGCACCATGAAGGCGGCCGAGGAAGGTAATCACGCGTCCCTCCTTGCGTCCCCGGGGCCCCGGCCCGCAGCGCCCGCTGCCCGCGGTCGGAACCCCCAGCACGAAGCCCCGGACCCTGGCGGCCGGGCCGGGGTCTGGGCGCCCAGGAGGGCGCGGGCGGCCGGCGCCGCACAGATTGGGTAGGGTGTCCCCCTGGTGTTTCCCCGGCGCAGCCCTGATTTTGAGCGCTCTTTCTTGCCAATAGGTGTCTCCTCTTCTCTAGCGCTGAGTGCGCGAACTTGGCCTTGGCTGGGGCAGCCTCTCCGGGATCCCGGCTGTGGGAATTGAGTATAAATGCACGCAATTTGGGAATGGGGCGAGGTAGGATCCTCAGACTACAAAGGAACCTTTGGGATAAGTGAGGTTTCATTGGGAATGAGGGATGGGAGGCAGGGCCACCCATTGGGGCAAAGAGTAGCCCCTCGACGTGAAGTTGGAGGATTCCTGTACCTCTCCCTGAGCGCCAAGCTGGGCCAACTGCCTCCAGATGGTCGAGGCCCCGCCGCAAGGCAGCGGCCGTCATGCCTGTGGTCAAACGCGGTGGGAGCACAGCCCCCCTACTGGGCCCATCCACTGTTCCTTAGAGGGAGAGAGTTCCAGTGTAAAAAAAATGCCTCCGGAAGGTTGGAAGAGTCTCCCAGGGCTCAAGCTGCTTCTCTTTGGTAAAAAGGCATCAGTGTCTGCCCTGAGCCCGGGATGGCCAACCCAGCGGACTTGCTTCAGGCCCTCCTGCAAGCCCCTCTCCTGCTGCCTCATTAAAGGAATTATCACAATAACAAAAACCACCCCATAGTCTCGGGCAGGTATCTTTGGAAGCCTCAGGAGGGGATGGTTGGCATTTCCTTGGGATTAAAATGACCAACGCAGGAAGAAAATTGGGAGACACCTCTCCGAATTCCTTATCAGCTCTGAAGTGTGTTACTTAAAAGCATTGAAAGTTGTCAAGCCTGCCAATGCTAGTGTGCCCTCAGTTTTAACGGCAGACATCCTTGAAGGAAAATGCTAGTTTCCTGCACAATACTAATAAATGGTCCCTTGCCCTGGAACTGCAGCTCCCATAGATGGGCAGCTTTGGAGAACTCGAATCTCTAACAAAGATGAGCTGGAGCCAGTAAACTCAGCACAAGAGGATCAGCATTTTCAGAGCCTAGATATCCCATGTAGAAAGTATTCTGTGAATTCTGGATGAAGAAAAGTAGATGTGACTTATGCTTCTTACCATTTCATCCCAACTTCAGAAAATGCTTAAATGTTGAAACATCAGGCAATGTTTTAATGTCTACACAATGAACTCTTGCTATGAGAAAAGTTTAACAATATTTTTGGTGTGGTTTGGGCCTTGAATCCTTGGATCCTTATTTCCCCACATATTTATCACTACTTTAGAAAAGGTAGGTCTGCCTAAGTTTAGATTTCTTTATTTGAAGAGTCAGTGTTCCATTTTGTAGTAAGAGATATTTTTTCTCTTTACAAGAGGAAAAAAAGCATTGATGGGGTAGTGATTGTTTTTTCATGTTTCCGACTTAGGAAAATAAGTTTGAAAATGCCCCACCTAAAAGGCCATAGAGTGGGGACAATAATGTCCTTTAACTAAACAATACTGGTGTATTTTATAGGGACTACGAATTGGGCTAAATAGGAAATGGATCCCACCTTGTGCAGAGGCAGGCCATTGCACAGCAGAGAGAGTGGTGGCAGGTCTGTGTCCGCCATTGCTGAGGGCTACTGGGAAAACAGCCCACGTCCCTCCTGAGTAGGCCATGGCCCACACATCAGCTGCCTTCTGAGGGCCTGAACGATTACCGCAGTCCTCAGTCTAATGAGCATCTGGTGGAAGCTCGTTAGGCTAGGCACCGCCATTTCTGAAGGCCCTGTGCTGTTTTCCCCGGGAGAACGCCCAGAAATGCAGGCCTGTAGGTAGTCACCCAGTCAAAGCTGCTCCCCAGAATGCCCCACGGGCTCTCCAAGGCTGAACAAAGCATACCCTGTTCTCCCGCCACTTAGCTTCTTGGCATTGTTTCCTAATCCAGATTAGAAAATGCCACAGTGCCTGCACCCTGTTTTATCACACCCAGCAATGGAGCTCTGTATCCCGTTAACATCCCGCAGCCTCTGGAGGAAGCATTCCAAGCTAAACACTTCCATCAAGACAGGAGCGTCTGCTGAACTGGCAAATGAGAGTCCAGACCAATAGCTCCAACGGGGCAGGAAGACAAGCTCAGCCGCAGGATCGAAAAGGGTGCCTTTACCCTGCAGCTGGCCATCTGATTTCCTGGGTGGGTGACTGGGAGGCAGAAGGAGCCTGTCCTGCCTCCTGAAGAGCTCCGAGCCCCGAGGCTTCCCTCCTTTGGGCCAGAATTTGGGGGTATGTGCACCCTGAACAGTGTAAGCAACAGTTGTGCAAAAAGCTGTAGTCTAAACAGATGAGAGGGCTGTTACTCGGGTGTATTTTTTTTGGTGGTGCTGAAAATGTGGCTGAAGTAAAAAAAAAAAAAAAAAAAAAAAAAAAAAAAGAAGAAAAAGAAAACAAAAAGAGAGAAAATAAAATGTTGAGGCTTCTCCACAGAAAACAGAACTTCTATTTGCCCGAAGGTCAGCAGAAAAGCAAACTAAAACAAAACAACCCTCCAACAAACATCTCAAAGTGAGAACTATTATTAGAAACTAAATCAGGCCAAACTGAACCATAGTTTATCACGAGAGAAAACCAGCCATTGGAAAAGGGTCCTGGGAGGAGGTGGCGGATCCACGTGAGGCCCAGGTTACCTCCACTGGAAAAAGACATCCCCCAGGGCTGCAGGGCTTGAGGGCAGAAAGGAGCAGCCAGGGGATTGGTGACAAACGTTGACACTGACCTCCATCCCCCCTTTCCTTCCTGATTCCCTCCCACGGTCATGCTCAGCTTAGCTCTCTCGCCCGGGCCACCATTTTCCTGGTATTCCAGATGTTGCTTTTACATGGTGCTAAGACACGAAGAAAGTTATAACAAAAAGCTGGGAGAAACAGGAAAAGGATGGACCGGGCTCCGCGGCACAGCCTTTCCTATTGACTGTGCTGTGTGTACCAGGCTGTGCCGGGGCCTGGACAAGCCTTCACACCCCCAGCCTTTGAGTTTAAAATTACCCCACGGCATTAGCAAGGTCCTGTGGACTCAGAATGTGTGGCATTTTAGGAGCTGAGATCTGAGGAGGCCGGTATTGCAGGAAAGTGGGCTGCCACCAGCTAGACGCCGGCAGAGGGAAGGGACAGCCCTTAGTCCCTGGATGGATTATAAACTGCACTCCGCACAGGACAGAGCAGTGGGTACCTCACGGCAGCCCTCCCACCGCCCTGGCACTTTCGGTTAATTTCTCCAGCAAAGGGGGTGGAAAACTCCAGTCCCTGAATGTAGGGTTGAAGTTGCAGAGCTCAGCTGGGGCTCAGACCTGGGGCCCTGGCAGGAGGAGGGCAGGCTGGGGGAGGCCGCAGGAAACCCTGAGCATGGAGCAGGCCGAAGTTTGAGGCCCTCTCGCCCCTCCTTTTAAACTTTTGGCTCATCTAGCAGCCTTGCTCTTCGTCCCCGCGGAGGGAGTAGCTATAGCTAGCCCTCGGTGCCAGGCGCACCCAGGTCCCGCGAAGCTTGGGCCTGGCCCATGCCGCCCCGCACTCGCCGAGCCCTGGCCAGGAGGGGACCGCGGGGCGGCGCCAGGGCTGCGCTCGGCTCGCGCGTGGAGTTTATTTAAAACTCAGAAGCCGGCGGCCGCGAGCCACTTGTTTATGTAAACCCGGAAACACCCGGGGGGACAGGGGCGGGACCGCGCGGGAGGCCGGGGAGGGGACAGGACGACGGGAGGCGGGGGCGCGTCACGCCGAGGGAGGACGCGCCGCGAGCCGGGCGCACCCGCCGCGACCCCGACATGACGGGGCTGGAACAGGACCCGGAGTTCGACTTCGATTTCCTCTTCGAGTTCAACCAGAGCGGCGAGGCCGTCGCTGCCGCTGCAGGTGGGTTCAAACCGGACGGGGGCGGCGCCCTGTCCTCCCCACTACGCACAGGGACCCGGGCGCCTCCCTCCAGCGCCCCGTGCCGGCCCGGGGAGACGCGGACAGCCAGGCGAGCGCGCGGCCTCGGGGGACACCTGTGGCCGAGGCAGGTGCCGCGCGCGGCTGCAGGGCACTGCTCGGCGTCCTGGAGTGGAGCATCGGGTGTGGAGGGCACCCGGAAAAGGCCGCCTCTGTCCCGGGTGGCCCGTTCCGAGGGGGACAGTGGCCGGCGCTCAGGACTTGGACCTCATCGTCTGAGAACAGATGGTCCGTGTCGCTGCCAGAGGGCGGTGGGAAGCCGCCCTCCATGAGCCGGCCGCTGCCCCCGTGGCTTGGGGGCCAGTGGCCGGGAGAAGGCCAGGCCTGGCTTTGGCTCCCAGGGAGTCTCAGGCACGATGTTGGGTGGTTTTTGTTGTTGTTGTTTGTTTTTGGTTTGGTTTGGTTTTGCCTGCTTTCACTCTATCAAAAATAAAGGTTCCAGTTAATAAACGCCTTGTGACCCTCTCCCCTCAATTTGACACTCTTGGGTGATAATGAGAACTGAGGATTGCAAAGGCCTCTGATCAGCAGAGCCCACCTCCAGCACCCTGGGTCCTGCCCACCAGCTTTCTGCCTTCCCAGCGGCACCCAGCCCCAGAAAGCCCTCGGTGCACTGCACAGGGAATCTGTCCCGCCGGTTCGTGTGCAGATAAAGTGGTGGAATTGGGACAGGCACTTTGGCCGGGAGAGACTGTATGTCTCTGTAATGATGGTGTCATATTTTCCATAGCACTCAATACCCTTTTTGAAAACTCCAGCGTCTTTTTCATGTCTGAAAGTGTTCCAACCAGGCCCCTCTGCCTGGGGTTCAGAATCCACTCTCCCGAAACCCTTCCCTGGTGGGCCCTTTTCGCTGTATTCTGTGGCTGTGGGCTCCAGCTCCGTGGGATCAGTGGGAGCCAAGGCAGGTGAGACTAGGAGAGA